AGGATGGGGAGGAGGACGGGGAGGAGGAGGAAGAAGAGGAAGAGGAGGAGGAGGAGAAGGAGGTGGAGGAAAAGGAAAAGGAGGAGGAGGAGGAGGAGGAGCAGGAAGAGGCGGAGGAGGAGGAGGGAGAGGAGAATGGGGAGAAGGAGGAAGGGGATGAGGACGAGGACGAGGAAGAGGAGGAAGAGAAGGAGGAGGAGGAGGTGGGGATGAGGATGAGGATGAGGATGAGGAGGAGGACGAGGAGGAGGAGGAGGAGGAGGAGGAGGAGGAGGCAAGGACGGGGAAAAGGAGGAGGCAGTGGAGGAAGAGGAGAAGGAGGAGAATGAGCAGGAGGAGAACGAGGAGGGGAATATGAGGAGGGGGAAGAAAAGGAGGAAGAGGAGGAGGAAGAAGGGGACGGGGAGATGGAAACACTGGGGAGACAGAGGAGGAAGCAAGGAGGAGGACAAAAAAGAGGAGGTGGAGGAGGAAAAAGAGGTGGAGGAGGACGAGGAGGGCAGGAGGTAAGTTTGGTGCGATCACGCCATATCTGACGTCCTATCCCTTATCATGGCGAAGCTATCCTCTCTATTCGCACAATCCGATGTCAAGCAGGGCAATGATCGCGAGAGGGTACGAGATGCATTGTAGAGCGCTGCGTGGCATGGCGAGAAAGAGCACGTCATAGCGTGACATGCTATAGCATGGCGTAGCAATGCGCACTGTAGCATTGCAATCATTGCAACGCAGAGCGTGACATCGCACAGCGGCGCAGAGCGCAACACCGCACAGCATGTCATGGCATGACGCCAGGTTCCTTGGAGGGTAAGTGGATCGTCTTGGAGAGGTTTGGGCCGGTCTGGAATCACGGATCCATGTCTAGCTCCTTGGGCTCCCCGGAAAACTCCACTCAAGGCGAGGCGGATGGAGACCACCCGCAGGCTCTGCTGTCAAAATCGCTTTCTAAAAAAAGAAGCGAGGTTCCCCCATTTCCTTCATGAAAGCGACGACGCGTGGCGTCTGCGGCCCCAAGAATTAGAGGATCGATACCGAATGTGTGATCACTTCCCATGGTTTTTGTTCACAGGGAGCATTTGTAAATAGTTTGGGGGCTCTCTGGGAGAACAAATTTTTATTAAAAAAAAACGCGCAGAACAACGAGCACGATTTGGAACAACCAAAGGCTCAAAAATGGGGCCAGCGCTGCAGAGCGAACGGCATTTTGGAAAACCGCCCCGGTGAAAACCCATTTCCTGGGAATCTTGCGCGCAAAAAAGCAACACGCGGAGAGGGGCGACATCGTCAGCACGTCATCAGGGGAGGAAGTAAGGACCGGGAAACGGGAATCATACTTGCGTGCTGATGACTTTGTAGAATATGTAATGGTAGAAGTATGCGTAAAATGCGTAACTGTAGTCACGTAGTTGCGTGTAGCTGTATCACTTGCAAGTGTAGAACGTGTGCAATTGTGCGTAATTGTAGAAGGTACAATTGACCACGCCATCGTGGTTTGTAGTTGTAGAGAACTGGGGGAAAAAGGGGGAAGCTCCCCTGAATGCCAGCAGCGCCTGGGCCGTCGGCCCCCCCTTGTCGGGGGGGCCGGGCGGCACCGGAAAATGCTCGGCCCCCGGACGTCACTTGGCGATTAACAGACATATGGGTGGGCGCGTGATCCGAACAGGTGTTCATCGGTTCGGGAGAGTGGCGAGGGGGGCGTCCGCCAAATGTTATGTTCATTCCCCCCCAAACAAAACGCGGCGATGGCGCCGGTGACTCGCGCCGATGCCCGGCCGACTGCAGGAGGGCGACAAGGCGCGACGTAAGCGGCGCCGCTTCACCGGAGGGGGACAACAATGCCTCCGATATAGCGGGCTGTCGGGCCAAAGTGGCTACAGACAGGAGAGAAAGAGGAGGCGGGGGAAAGAGGCACCTCGGCTGGCAGGCGGTGCCGGCATGGATACGAACAAGAAAAGCAACAGAGGGGCAGGAGCGGAAGAGGCAGGCGGCAATGGCTCTTCTTTCTCCTTTTCCCCTCCCCCACCCCTTCCCCGACGACAACGACGACGACGACGACGACGACGGCGGCGGCGGCGGCAGCGGCGGCGGCGGCGGCGACGGCGGACGACGACGCGCTGCGGATGATTCATGCGGGGGGGCGGGAGTGCTGCGTATGCCCGCTGTGATCGTCGTCGACGACGACGGCGACGGCGATGGCGACGGCGACGACGGACGACGACGCACTGCGGATGCTGCAAAGGGAAGACCACGGTGCTGCGTGTGCCCGCTGTAGTCATCGATGACGACGACGGTGACGACGGGGGCGATAACGACGACGACGACGACGATGGAAGACGGCGGCGGCGGACGCTACGACGACGACGAAAAACGACGCACAGCGGATGCCCCAGCTGCAGTCGACGACGACGACGACGACGACAATGCGACGACGGCGGCGACGACACCGCACTGCAGATGCCCGATGAGGGGGGGGTGTTGCTGCGTAGGCCCGCTGTGATCG